TTAAGAATGTCATGAGCTGGGGATACCGCTCAGCGGCACAAGCACCTGCCTGGCAAGTACAAGGTCCTGAGTGCGATTCCCAGTACCCCTCCCCCCCCAAAAAAGAACGTCATGAAAGCTAGGGAAAAAAACCTGTGATGAAGGCCATGGGAAAGACCCACCATCCAGTAACAGGTATGCATGTGCCAGCTTTTGTTTATAATTTCAGTGGTATCCCTGGGAAAACACCCAACAACTGCAAGGGAAATCTGTAAATCCCTTTGCCTTGGAATTTGGGGAAACTTAAAATGAGGTTAACAGGACGTATGTACTGTTCACTGATTGGTTCACTCCTTCCTAACTCACTGAGTTCCACTTCACAGTAGGCACTATGCCAGAAGCGGAGGACTCGATGTGTAAGGTAAGAATCCAGCCTTGTACAGCTGTCTAATGGGAAAACAAACACATAATAATGAGTTAAGTGTGATGTTAGCCTATACATACAGAAACCAGGAAGAACCCTGAGGGCAGTTAATTTGCCGTGTAGCTAATAAAAATATCCTACGCCAGGAAATTAGGTATAAATTGTCACAGACTGTATCTCTGGCGTACAGAGTTTAAAATCTGGACTATTTCAGACAAAGCTGGGGAGGGGACTGGGAGAACCTGCCACCCCGCGTCAGTCCTGATAGATACAAGCGGTGGGAAACTTTAGGCAATGAGAGCGGCACACGCACAGGTTCACTGTCAGGAGCCAGGGCAGCGCGGAGAAAACCAGGCGCGGCTCAGGAGGGCTTCACACGGAGTGACGAGCAACGAGAGCCAAGGGCGCGGAGACGCTGCAGTCAGATCCCGAAGGCGCTCACCGAGGGTTTCTAAAGTGAAGAGATTGAGTTTCATATCTGAAAGATCACACTGGCTTTTGTGCAGAAAAAGAACAGAGCAGATGGATCAGGAGTGGTGAGGGGTGAGATCACAAAGAAAGGAAGCTGCTAAATCAGAACCAGAAATGGTGGTCTTAATAGCGGCAGTGAAGATAGAATAAGGTGGACACTTCAGGAAACAGGATGAGGCCACTCAATACCATATTTGCTCTCACTCCCCGGAAAGACTTTCACCTAAGGCCAAGCTCTCTGCTCCATGCAGTGAGGGAGGCAGCGATGGGTTCGTGCTAATAAAACAATCTTGCTACTGAGCAAGTCTCTCCTAGAATAACGAGTGTAGTATTTCGGCTCAGTAATCAGATATGGGAACTCTATTTCATCGCATACTGATTATAGTCATGAGGATAATAGCTACAAAGTAATTTTATTGAGCATTTATTCTTTCAGTTACGCATCCAAGCACTCTGCCTGTACTAAGCCACTTAGGCTTTTTTTTTTTTTTTTTTTTTTTGGTTTTTCTCCGGTACCGGGAACCGAATTCATGACCTTGCGCTTGCCTGGCAGGCGCTTTTGCCGCTGAGCTAAATCCCCAGCCCCGCCACTTAGGCTTTAAGCAACCCTATGATGTTGGCTCAAGTCTCACTTCTATTGAACAGATGAGGACACCGAGCTACTGCAGCGTGCGAATGCCTGTGTAAGGTCACAAGGCTGGCAAGTAGAAAAACAGGCTTTACCCTTGGAAGTCTTGCTGTGAGACCCCTGTCCCCAGTGATTCGATTTGTCTACAGTGATAAGCAGAAACATAATTTTTCTCCATAGAATTCAGTCTAAGCATTAAAATTTTTTTTCCCCATTTGTTCTGAATATTCTGAACAAGTACGATGAAGTTTCCACATCACTTATGTCCACAGAAATGTCAAGAAGAGATACATGAAGCAAAATCTGGGAGTGATTTTTGCAGAGTTGGACTCAAAAGAAGCAAGAACACCAAAACAAAACAAACACACAAAAAGCAATGGTGTTTTTGAATAACAAATGCTGTTTTCCTTTAGTCATAAGGGAATTTTAAAACTGGAAAAACTCATTCAGCTTTCAAAGCATTCCACGTTCCCCACCCACACATGCCAGAAGGTGCCAGACTGAGCTAACTCTGGGTTCAGGAATGATTTTCCAAATACTAGATCAGACTTCTTCCATGTCCACTCTAGATGGGTATTTACCATTGCCCTAATTATTCTGATGAAAAGTGCTTTGCAATTTATCACAATTAATTAAAAAGTATTTCAGCAAGGGATGACAGTGCGGTACAAGTGCAAAAGCAGAAAATGACACGTTATTATTACTTCAAGTAGACCGAAAATCCCTGCCTCATATCTTTGAAATATTAGAGGTATGTTGTGAAAAGCCTCAAATTCAATGGACTTTCTGGGGAGAGGATCTGATTACATAATGAGAATAATTTACTCAATTTGCAGGAAATTATTTTTTTGCAGAGGAAACGAATACTTATTATACTCATTATATTCATTCAACTAATGTTTACCGGAAGCATGCCCCATGGCCAGCACCCTAAAACTAACCAATGGCGGCTATCTGGGAGAACCTGAAAAACTTGGAAACTTAAATAGCATTTCTTAAAGTTAGAAATTTTTGCTAGGCTGTGACATACAAAAATGGAAAAACATAGATCTTGTTATCTAGCACAGCTAGGGAGATGAATAAGTGAAGGTAAAATGCCATAAATGTTACCAAAGAAATATAGAGTTGGCCAAAAAAAATGTATACATCCTTTAGGGAAAGAAAAATTTGCTTGAATATTTTAATACTAAATTTATTTAGACATCATGAGATTAATATGTTACCTCTGGCCTCTACAGTTATAAGAGTTGCTCAAAGTGGTGGCTATTAGCTGCCACACATTTATTAGTACAGGGAACTTCTCACTGGGTAACCTTGGTCACGGGATTGCTGCACATGCGTTTTCAATTTCTTCCCTAAGGGTGGCAGTGTAGCGGGTTTTCTGCAATAACTGACAGCTTCTAGGGTCCTCCATAGGAAGGCAACATCATCTGTTGATAAAACATCACACATTCTTCTTGGCGAATCTGTATCACGTGTGACAGTTAACCACTTAACAGTATGGCAGGACATTTGTTGGGTACTCATTACCGCATCATCACGTGGGTGGGTGTCATTTCAACCAGTCAGTTCTTACTAACATAATTTTGTGCTACAATCTGTAAGTATACTAGATGTAATTTTTATACTTCTCTGGGACTCAGTGATATTCTAAAACAGACACATTTGGGACACTGAGACCGAGGAGGAAGTACCAAAAGATCTACAAAAGAAAAAACTGGAAAAGGGAGAAATGTTAGCATATCAGAGAGGAAAAGTTTGTGTTATGAGATGGAAAGACAAAAAAGACATCTCCGCATTGTCAACTACTCGTAATATAGAAATGACAGAACTTGGAAGAAGAAATGAAACTAAAAAAGTTCCAACAGAGGTCAATGGTTATAATTTGATGACCGGTGTTGACAAGAGGTGACCAACATCTAACAAGCTATCCTGTAATCAAAGGGAGAAAAAATACTATAAAATATTTATGAACTTTCTAAACAATATGGAACTCCTTTGTTAGTTACTCAAGCGGGAAGACGACGGGAAGTACATGGGGCAGGAGCGTACATAAAGGGAGGCTGGATTGGTCAGTGCACGTCAGCACGCGCGAGCGGACACATCACAGTGAGCCCCACCAACATGTAAAATTAATTCATGTTAATACAAATTTAAAATATTATTTCCTTATAATAAATTAAAAAAACCCTCAGAGAAGTTCACACAACATAGCAGGAATTCGCACTTGAGGAGCACAGACTGCAAGCAGGGCCCGCACTTGCTTGTCTTCTGTCCCTTCAGTCTGGCAGCACCGGATGCTCATGGAAACTGGGCTAGGCGCTCGTGGCGCTGAAACTATTACAATGGTCGGGGGTGAAATCCAACCCAACAGCTGTGTGAACACGGCTTGCAAATTACACCTAAGTTTTAGTTTCCTATATGTAAGATAAAAATAATACCAGCTTGGTAATATTACTGTGATAATAGATGTAGAAAGTCTAATGTGTAGGGTTGTGTTCATAAAGGGTTGTTAATTCTTTTTGCTACTTTAAGTTAACCCCTATAGATCCTAGAGAAATACCATTTTTTGCAATTGTACTCAAAACCAAAAGTGTTACATAAAAGTCACATTTACTATCTGTTTAATCTGTAGCATTACAGAAATCACCAAAGAAATATACTGTCTCGTAGGCCTCCGTACTGTGTGATCATTAAATACTATAGATTGCTACTGAGTTTTACTCCGGTTCTTGTAGACGTTCTGTTGTGCACTAACACTGCCTCTGAAGTGCCCTGCAACCTATTTTTCCTAATAAATTACTTTTAGCATGTAAGTTCCTTTCCTCTTGGTCATCATTTAATACAACTGACAGTGAATATCAAAACCCATGTTGTCTCCCTTCCTTTAAACTTCAGTGTTGCTTAAAAGTTAAATAAAAGGTTTTTTTCTTGCAATTGTAAAAAAAAAAAAAAAGAAATATACTGTCTCACTTTTACTTTATAACATTATATGAAATTTTGGGTTTTTTTTCGAGAATTCTAATGCAGTGAAATCAGGTGCACTCTAACACGTTCATAACAGGGCCATGTATGCATAACTGTTCCACTGGGGGGCGGGTGTCCAATATGACAGTAATACATGTCCCACCACTACTGGTCCACGCCATAAGGAACATGTGAAAGAAATCTTTCAACTCAACTGTCATGTTTATAATGAAACCTTTTTTTTTTTTGGAATTCAAATGTCAAAACTACTCTTTTTTTCTAGATTAAAGCATTTAGATTCCTTGGGCTTTTACTTTGGAAAACTGTACTAGATACCTGGAATGACTAATTTCAATTTAGGTTATACTAATACTATAACAGGGAATTTTAAGAAAGAATTTATCTAAGTAGTATTTTACATTGGAAATATTAATACATAATTTGAAAAATCATAATGCAACCCTAGAAGTTAACCAGAAAGCTTTAAAAAAAAGCCCCATAAGACTCCGTATAAAACCACATAATCATACAAAAGCTTTAAATATATTTTTATTTAATTAAAAAAAAGTTCAGATCCAACACAACTGTCAGCTGAACAGCAAGCTAATCAGTATTCCAATATCACAGTAGTGCTTTGACTGAACAAACAAAAGAGACAAACTTTCAAAGATGTTTATTTAAAATTCTCCATCTAGGAGAAAAGATATATAACAATGTTTACACATGCTTTAATAACTTATCTCACTGTACAATTTATATTCTATATAATAATATAATAAACCAGCAAAAGAAAACAATTAGCACATAAATAAGAATCTGTTATGTAGGAAGCGTTGAGTATGGGATATTAAACAGTAGCATCTACATATTTTTATGACTGAGGTGTACAGTATGATACCGTCATGTTCAGTGTGTACCTAAAAATTAAGATGCCAAGATCTTTCTGATTCATGATGTGAAAACTATTATGTGTTCTTTAAAATAGAACATCTTTCTTGTTAAACTTGGTAATTGAGGGCAGAAAGGCTCTATCACTTTTATCCCTTTTTTATAAATATGTTTTCCCTTTCATATTACTTTCACAGTTTTAAATAAAAAATTTGTATTTGTGTACAATCCTGCAGCAACACTGTTCTAAGCACAGAATTATCTTAACCAGGTATTATATAGCCAAAAAAAAAGATCCAAACACATTAAAGAAACCAAAGAAATGACCATTTAATTCTGCTAGTACAGCACCTAGGAAAGCAGTACTTCAGTACAGTTTGCCCTGCAGTTCTTAAGTGACGCAGGCAACACAGCAATAACTTCAAAGATATGGGCAGAATATAAGGAGGAAAAGAAATTTTTCTGTTCTCAAAAAAAGATCTTATTAGTGTATTCTCTGATGAATTGTATAGTCTTGGAGTTACAGTAACTGCCAAACTAGGTACATGGTACATTCTTCAACAGGGAAACAAGAAGGAAATGACTAAACAGTGAAATCTCAATTTCTTCTGAATAATTATAAATTATATGTTTTAAGGGAAAAAAGGCACAGGAGGTACACATTTCAATTTGGCTTGAAAATAATGAAAATTATTTCTGAGAGTTGGAAACAACTAAAACAAAATCCAATTTCCTATATTCTTAGACAGATATTGCCCAACTATAGGATACTGACAACAACAATAAACAAAAAGTATACTGTGGTTCGCCATAATCACTGACTACACATAACTGTTTGATGCTTCTCCACAGACTGAATCCTACTAAGTAGGACTTAATGATAATTAATTTTAATTAAAAAATCTGCTTCCACAATATCTTCTTCCTAAAACTTAACTTCTTTTTGTGGAACTGAAAATTTTAAATGCTCTAGTTTTCAGCTGACTGCAAAGGTACTACAGTAAGCTTATACTCCAAGGAACAACAAAAGACGGAAAGTCAACAACTATTATTATACCTGTAAAGGCTAACTCAGATTTCACCTTGACACATGTAAACACGAATCATGAATTTCAAAAAATAGTAGCTGCGGTCAAGTCTGTATCCCATTACTGTATCTATAAAAGATAGCAAAATCTATCATTAATTGTAAACGTAAGTCTCGAAAAGAGCACATTCACAAAGAGACATTCAGTGGAATGACGCACCACGCCCCTACACAGCTCTGCGACAACTGTAGTGAACTGTAACTGCAACTGCTGAGGACTCTGAGGTGCGACCGGAGAAAGTGATGCTTCCCACACCACTGAGCTTCTGGACAGCAATCATGATGGTGATGAAATATACTTAACAAATTAGCTATTAAAAAGTCATTAGAACATCTCTTTCTTGTACACTAGTGTAGAAAGGCCTTCCAAAGATAAAGGAGTGCAGGCCTGGTTTAATTTTCTCAGCCAGAGCCATTATTATGTTGAGATCGCCCTCTGCTGTTAAATCAAGGTCTATCTTCAGGTTCCGAAGAGATTTAAAGGGTTTTTTTCCCTTCTGCCTACAAATAATGGAAAAGAAAAATAGTAGTAATAAACAAACATTTAGAACAAAAGCCCATAATATGCAAAGGCTTTTCTTCTTGTGAGGGAGCTACTCACGTATCATCTTCTATATATCTGATGAGTGTCAGGGCTTTTCTGTGAAGGACGAGAAGAAATTGCGCAAGGAAAGTACTTCTGAGAGATAAACCAGGTTTCAGATGAAAGACCTGCAGGAAAATGAACGGCTGTAACAGCTTCCGTCCGTTCTTCTGCACAGCACGTCCTCCTGACAATGCTGCCAGTGTCTGGCCGCCCCAGGGCCTCTCCACTCCCATGGTCTAACAGAATGCAGAGCGGTGGCAGCATGCGTGCGGAAGCACACGGACAGCGTTTGAAGTTTTTATCTCTAAAAATGTACTCAAGAGTTTGCATTCTAATTCAAAATATATCCAGGCTTATTTTATTATGACAAAGCATTATGTAAGTTATTTTATATTGTGCTACCTAACTTTTTCCACCCAAATCTTCAACTAATACTGACTGACATTCCCAGAAGCTGGGCCGTACTTCACCTATGATTTTTAAGCACTTGTATATCTATTCTCTTAAGGAGAACGTGTGCTGATGTAGGAGAGAGGAACGGGAGGGCCTTTATTTGAGGCTGAGAAACATGAATTACCTGACTACCAGTTATCCTTCAGCTTTGCAGTATATCAGACCACACAGATCTGGATCCAAAGTTTTTAATTAGCATAAGGATCTCATTATTCCAAAGCTAAATCTATGACAAAATTTCCTAGCCTGGTCCTCAGAATGTTTTAGGACAATACTGTTACATTAAGAAATAAACCCCATATAATTTATCATTTCCTTCATCTGTGTCACTGAGTAGATATTTGTAAAAAGAGTAACAATGCTATCATTTAAATAGATATATACTAAGTCTTAAAAACATATTTTGGCTTATGTAAGGCAAATAACATTTCCTTTCCCCTTAAAGCAAAACAAAACCCTTTGAGTTATAGGGTAGTACTGTATTCAAAATAAAAGTATTTGTTTGAAATGGGAAATGCTGAATCTTTAATCATTAATGCACAGGCTAATGCCCAGAAATTTTTTTCTTGGGACAGGGTCTTCCTATGTAGTTCAAGATGGCCTTGAACTCACTATGTAGTCCAGGCTGGCATCTAACTGTAGTGATCCTCCTGCCTCAGCCTCCCAAGTGCTAGGATTACATGCATGAGCCACCACTGCTGGCTGCCCAGAAATAATTTTTAAAAAATCATTTAGAGGCTTTAGAAAGACCATAGGCACTAAAAGAAGTAAGGATTTAATTTTATGTGGTATGTACACGGTACAGGATAGAACCTCATTTTTTTGGGTGGTACTGAAGATGAACTCAGGTACTTGTGCATGCTATATGTAAATGATCCCCAGTATTTTAAAAGAAAACCTGCCATATTATTTATTCTGATAATGTCTGGTTTTATCTGATTACCTGATCCAGGAAGGCTTTTACTAGAGTATCTCTGTGTAAGACATCTTGGAAAATATTCCTAGATGGAAAAGAAAAAAGCCCAAATGTTGAAATGATTATACAGTGCTGCTTTCTACAATCCCTCCATCTTTTCAATAAGTTAAATTTTCTCGGTGGTGTATTATATATCAATAAACCTGTAAAAGTGTAAATTATATATCTAGAGAAAGAGAATAGATATTTGGGGCTGGGGTACAGCTTAGTTACCCATGAAGCTCTGGATGCAACCCCCAGTATATACAGATATGCAGATACATGCTATATGTACAGATACATGAATATGTTCACTCTGAATAAAAGATATGCTTGTATATTATTGGTGTTTGGGCTAAAATTTAATTGTTTTCTTCAGTTCCCAGGAAGGGTGTGCATACATCGATCTTGGAACTGTCATAAAAATAATGTTGAGTGTCTTAGACAACTAGTAATATAATCACCAATTCTTGCCAAAAAATAAAAGCCAACAAATTAAACACAATACTATACTACTACCAACTTTAAACAAAAACCAAGGACAAATGTTAAGAATATTTGAGTGGGACTAGGGAATAAATTCCAATGATAATGAGCAACAGACATGTGCAAGTAAAATGAACTGGTACCTCACAAAGGTGTTACCTACCACGGCAATGACCAACACAGTGAGAAGACACAATGCCCACGTGAGATAACTTGTGTCTGACACGGCACCTAGGATACAGCAGGTGCTAAACAAAGAAAACAGTACTCCCTTCTCAAGACCCACTCTTCTTTCTCATTTCTCTTTCATCTTCTGTAAGCTCTACTCAGTCAGAAGGGTAACGTAACATTCACTAAGGCAAGTGATTTTTAAATGAAAAGAATAAAAACACTAGAGATCACCATTTAACTCACAGAACCGGCAGAGAAAGAAGATGCGTGTATGCGGAAGTGGGAAAGCACCTGAAATTTCATAGTCTTAGGAGATGAGTATACTAAACTATAAAAGAAAACTGAGAAGAGGAAAAAAACACCAGCATTTTACGACTGGCTGGGCAGGCTGTGACAGAACCACTTCTTAGGCTCTGGAGAGCAGCTGGTGCTACTAAGTCCAGTGTTCAGGCTCTACTTCCCTGAACGAATACCCTGATCGTAAGAGAACTGGATGAAGCAAAGTGTTAAAAATGAGTATGTAAATGTTAATGTATTGCTGGTGACTGAAATTATTTTTAAAAGGTTAAAATTAAAAATAACTTCAGGGGTTGGGGTACAGCCCAGAGGTAAAGTGCTCTTAGTATGTCTGTGTCTGGCACTGGATATCCAGTGCTGCAAAAACAAACCCCACCTCCTCAACACAAAAATTTAAAAGTGAATAATATTGTTTAAAATACATAAAATAGTCAAATGAGACTATGATAAACAGAAGTTAACACATAATACTGTAGTTGAAAGTATTTCTTTTTTTTTTTTGGTAACGGGAATTGAACTCAGGACCTTGTGCTTGCCACGCAGGCACTTATGCCACTGAGCTATATCCCCCGCCTAAAAATATTTTTGACAATTTTATGTTCAAAACATTTACTTAGGGCTTGACACGCTAAAAGCACTCTACCGCTGGGCTATACCCCAAGCCCTCAAGTTATTTTTAACTTTAACCTCTTAAAAATAATTTCAGTCACCAACAATACATTTTATATTCATCCACAAGAAGAAGAAAAAAGACCCAGAAGTATTTTATTTTACTTTAATAAGTCTGTTCACACTAGACTATAAGTAATATAGCGTCTAAGGCTATCTGATTGATCACTATTAATCCCAGCACTTAGTATAGTGCCTAGAAGCTCAATATATTTTTAAAAAATAATATTTAAAGGTAAGTTTTACCTTATTTTTGGAAAAACACAATTATATTTAAAACACAAACATTTAAGAAAAAATTGATTAAATTTTTCTTCAAGCACTATTATATAGTAGTATTTTTCTCTTCTAAATACAACTTTCGTTTTTACTCATCAAAGATACACTTTCATATTGTGTGACAGTGATACCAACAGGCAGAGAATTACATACAAATCAGGAGTAAAGCTTTCATCGGTGTAGATGATCGTGTCCTGAGCCATGTCTTCCTCTGAAGTGGCTCTCCAGAATGCCGTCAGCTCTGACCTCATGTACCTCCGCTGATTATAAATATGTTCATGACAGGGTGGCATCTGCTTGACAGTATTGACATCCACATCTATGTGTGTGGTGGGGTATGGAGCATACATGACTTGTCGGAAAGGTAACACGAAGCTTCCAGTTGAATCCTGTCAAAATGAAAGGAAAACATACTGTTTTACACACACATGATGGTAGAATTTTTTAAATTAAATAAACCTGGCTTTGATTTTATTCTGTGAAATTTATCACGATTGTGTGTCAAGCATTAATGATGAACAGAGTTCACTACAGCATTATAGACAGCATCAGGAGCAGCCTGAGCATCCAAGGAGAAGTGGTTACGTAAGTAAATACAGGTTTATTATTTAGCTACTAAAAATAAAATTATTCAAGCTTGTGTTGATACTGAAAGAAATTTACAATATATTGTGAAAAATTAAGGATAGAATATATAGTGTATAAGCCAGTTTGGGGTTGCTCAAGTAAAGACATACAGAATAAAAAAAGAAAGATATATACCAACTTTTTTTTTTTTTTTGTCTTTTTGAGACAGGGTCTCGCTATGCAGTTCACGCTGGGCTTGAGCTCACTTTGTAGCCCAGGCTGGTCTCAAAAATCGCGATCCTCCTGCCTTAGTCTACCAAGTGCTGAGATTACAGGTGTGTGCCACCACGCCTGGCTATGAAATGTTAACAGTGGTAATTCACTGGATTATGAAATTGAAATTAACTTTTTTCTTGATTATTCTACTTCTTTTAAAATCTAAACAACTGTACATCTTTATAAGTAAATATTTACTTCTAAGTATAATCAACTGGGCAGCCGGTGACCATATAACATATACCTACTGCGTATGCAGTAGAATGTGTGCTAGAACAGAAGACAGAGGTTGTTCACATTTTTTCACTTTTATAATGCTATGGTAACATTTCTGTATAATGTCAGTGTGTTTTCTATAAGGCTATCTATATTTGCATGGTGGGCTCTCAATATTTCACTAAATCACTGTTTCAAATATTATTATGCATCTAGTATAAGTTTTTCAGGACTAAAATTATACAATGAAATGAGAGGTATGAAGGAAATAAATGTATTAAGCACTTTGCCTTTAAGAGGAAGAAGTACTCATTTTCAGATTTGTAAAATTCAAATTAGAAATGTTTTTTTTTGTTTCTGTATTTAAATACTATTATCCTGAGTTCAGGGCAGGCACATTACCAAAAAACCAAAAGCTGAGCTTTTATCTGCAACTATTTTTTAAAACAATGTATTTACTTTCAATTGACACACAGTAACTAACAGTACATACTTATGTAGTAAAGATGGCATTTAAGTACACGTATGTGCAATGTGCAATGGTCTGATCAGGATGGTATATCCCTCACTTCAGACACTTCCTTTCCTGGAGAACACTGTCTTCTAGCTATTTTCAAATATACGATTGATTGCTGTCATATTTATCCCACTGTTTTACAGAACATTGGAAATTGTCCCTCCTATCAAACTATACCCCTGCACCCACTCTCCCTATCCCTTCTTCCCCACACTCTTCCCAAACCTGATCACCAGTATTCTACTCTGTTGCTACGAGACCAACTTTTTAGTTTCCACGTGCAAATGATAACATACAGTATCTATCTTTCTGTGCCCAATTTATTTCTAACATAATCTCCCCCAGTTCCACCTATGTTGCAGCAAATGACAGAATTTCATTTTTTATGACTAGTTAATATTTCATTGTATATAACACACTATATTTTCGTTATCCATTCATCCATTGACATCTAGATTGATTCTATATCTTGGCTATTATAAATAGTGCTGCAATAAACATGTGAGTTCAGATGCCTAACACACTGATTTCATCTTCTCTGAGTATATACCCAGTAATGCAACTGCTAGATCATATGGCAGTTCTATTATCTAGTTTTTTGAGGAAAACTCTATATTGTTTTCCATAATGGTATAGTAATTAACATTCCCACCAACAACATATGAGAGGTTTCTTCCATGTCCCTGATAGCATTTGTTGTTTATCTCTTTGCTAATACTCATTCTAACTGAGGAAGATGATATCTCAATTCCGGTTTTGACTCGTATTTCCCTGATGATTAGTGATGGTAAGCATTATTTCAGGTATCTGTTGGTCATCTGTATATCTTCTTTTCAAAATGTCTGTTCAGATCATTTAAAAATCAGATTACTTGGGGATTTTTGGTTTGCTTGTTTTTTGTTTTTGCTTGTTTTAGCTCCTTACATATTCTGGGTATTAGTCCTTTAATGAATAGTTTGCAAATATTTTCTCCCCTTTTCCAGGCTGTCTCTTCAGTCTGTTAATCCCTATGCTATACAAAAGCATTTTAGTTTGATGTAATTTCATTGTTAATGTTTGCTTTGTTGCTCATTCTTTTTTTTTTTCCCCCCTGGTACCAGAAATCGAACTCATGACCTTGTGCTTGCCAGGCAGGCGCTGTGCCACTGAGCTAAATCCCCAGCCCTGTTGCTCATTCCTTTACAGTCTTCATCAAAAAATCTTTTACCACAACAATGCCCTGCAGCATTTCTCCTTTTTTCTTCTACTAGTTTTATAGTTTACGGTCTTACATTTGAGTATATGATCTTTCTTGAGTTGACTGCATACGGTAAGAGACAGTGGTCTAGTTCTACTCCTCTGCCATGTGGGTACAGTTTTCCCAGTTCTATTCATTGGAGAGAGACTGTTTTAGCCACTTTCCTCATTGCTGAGACAAAATACCCAACACCCCCAACTTACAGGAGGAGAGGTTTACTTTGGCTCACATTTCAGTCCAGGGTTGGATAGCTACAAAAAAGAAAAAAACATGGCAGAAGAGCATGCTGGCAGCTAGGAAGCAGAGAGTGAAAGGAGGAGCTGGGGATGGAGATACACCTTCCAGGTGATGCTGCCAGTAACTGGCCTCTTCCAAACATTCTCTGCCTCCTACAGGGAGTCAGCTGTAATGCCCACATAATCCCATCACCTTCATTACCTTCCAGTGGTCCTACCTGTGACAGCATGAGGTTTTAGGGAGACAGCTAGATATAAAGCGTAACACTGTCCTTTCTCCAATGTATGTTCATGGGGCCCTTTTCAAAAGTCAGCTGGCTGATTCACACTTGGACCTATTTCTTGTTCTATGCTTCGTTAGTCTACGTGTCTGTTTTTATGCCAGTCCATGATGTTTTGCTTACTATCACTATCTCGTATCTTTGGAAGTCAGTTATTATTATCCCACCAGCTTTGTTCTTTTTGCTGAGGATTGCGCTGGCTATCCAGGGTCTTTTAGGGTTCCATACAAACTGTAGGGGTGTTATTTTTCTATATGCTATTTCTGTGAATCACATCATTAGTATTTTGAGAGAAATGGCACTGAATCTGTAGACTGCTTTGGGTATTAGCGACATTTTAATAACACTAATTCTTCCAGTCCACAAACACTGAATGGCTTTCCATTTATTTTGGTTATCTGCAATTTCTTTCATTAGGGTTCTGTAATTTTCATCATAGAGATCATTCACTTTCTTCATTAAATTTATCCCTAGGGCTTTTTTGTTTGTTTTATGGCTATTACTACTTTCTTGATCTCTTTCTTGGTAATTTTGTTATTGATACATAAAAGTGCTACTGATTTTGTATGTTGATTTTTTTGTATCCTTTAACTTTACTGAATTTATCAGTTCTAACAGCTTTTTGGGGAAGGCTTTTAGGTCTTTTCTGTTTTATTATATGTAAAATCTCCAAACAGAGATAATCTGACTTCCTCCTTTGTTATTTGAGTGCCCTTTACTTCTTCCTGGCTATGACTTCCAATGTCAGACTGGATGAGAATGGTGAAAGTAGACACCCTGATCTTAGATGATTTTCAGCTTTTCCCTGTCCAGTATGATGTTTGTTGTGGGTCTGTCACATGTATCAAATACCTAATTATTTGGGGGCTTTTAGAATAATTTTTTAAAAATTCTGATTCATTTTGCTATATACCTACCTACATTCTCAAAAAAGTATTCATTATGAGAACCATACAACCATTAAGAAAGCTATTTCTTCACATCTTGACTGTAATTGAGATCAAAAACAGAACTAATAAAATGAACTGCTTTCTCTTTAGTTACTGAAATTAATGCTAATTTATTTGTGTTTTGCTTCTTGAAGAAAAAACTTGCCTTAGTTAAATAATAAAAATAATTTTATTTCTAGAAAAAACATTTCTAATACCTAGAAATGTACATTTTTTGTGTATATATATTTATATATTGCTCAAATCCTACATATTTTAAAGATGCTTTAAAGTTTTCAATAAATGAATATGCTATACAAACACAAAATACTAAACAAAAAATTCAAATCTACTCAAGTAAAGAGAAATGTTCCCATTTTAGAGGTACACCCTGATGCAAGCAAGAATTAAAAAGAAATAAAAATCCTAAGGCTGAACATTAGCTATGAACCATCTAGAAAAGAATATTCTGTGCCATTTTACCTATGATATTAATTATAAATCCAGAAGGCACTCTATGCTCAGTACTATGTAAAGAAAGTCAGTCTCTGGGCATATAAATGAGATGCATTAAACTCTATGAAAGTATTTTTTACAAAGACTCTCAAATATTACTTTTTAAAATTCGTTTCATTCATGAGAAATGAAAAGCATACCTTCAGCAGGCCTTGTACAAAGAGCCCTGACTCATATTTAAATGATGATTCTGCTTCACATAATCTGGAGCATTTTCTCTCCGCTGGAGTTAGAAAAAGGCATAATGTTCTCACTATCTAAAAAGAAAAGAATTTAGCATTAAAATACAAAGTTAAAAGAACAACGGTTTGCTAGTGAAAGAAATTTAAGTAGATATTTTTAATTGCTATTGTCAATAAAATATATTTCAAGTGGTAAGAACTCCTTAATCACTAGAATAGTGATGGCCATGCGATATAACACCTACTGCTTAATAAAGGGATTTTTGTGGCTAAATATTAACTGTATGGCATCTTAAACCCTGTAACATTTGGGTATATATTGTGATTCTTCAGGTGAATAATATAATATATAGCCTTTCTCAAACTTAACTATGAAATTCTTATTTCAGTGGGGAATAATCATGGAATATAATGACTGATTGCACCTCTACCCTACAACTGTTTTTAATCTAAGCAAACAACTTTAAAGAGGAAACTAAGTGCATTTAAATTAAGCAGAATTACAACTTTTATTATAATAGTTCTACATGCAAATCCCACTGTAATAAAAATCAAGGAGTGTCCAAACCATTCAGCAAAAGAGAATTCTATCAAATTTGATTTAAAGCAAGGCAAGGTATAGGTAAAGGGTTAGAAATCTCTGATTCTAACAGTATATTTGACCTACAGCTCTATTAGGAAAAATAAAAAACTATGTACCTATATTGGAATTCATGCTATATCTAGAGTTCTTATATTAAAGCAGTGTTTTTTTCAACTAGAGCAGCAGCAACTATTCTTTCAAATTAAAAGATAAAAGATGAACTATTCAATCTAAAGAGGATGAAAGACAAGAACAATACTTAATAAACAAAGCCCCAACCATGGGGAAGTTTTCTCTTCATAAAGCAGACTGAAAGGCCTATGGAATCCTCAGGTGTTAAGGATTATAAATGGCAAGACACCTTTTTGCAGTAACTATGATTACTGGATGCAATAGTATACCTTGGATGCAACAGTATACCTTAGAAAGGTACATTAATCATTCATAAATAGTTATATGAGAAATACAGTTTTGAAGATTAAAAGTAATGTAGCTATTAAAGAAAATAAACAAATAAATAAATAAATAAAACCTTTGTAAAGCAAATAATCATCCCCAACATAATTTCTTGTTAAACTTTTTTTTTTTTACCAAATTAAGTCTGCTTAAATTCATAAGGGTATAAAGCACTTATCTCTGGATTCTTCCTGATTAATAGTGAAGAAAGTGCAACGTCCCTTTGTTTATTGCCTAATGCTTAAAAACACAATTTATTAATTCTTTATTAACTCAAGTAGCACTGAAGAAAGTAGCCAAAACATTATCTAAGATAGCATTATCTCCACTAGCCAGCTCCCTGTAAGTAAGGTACAGACGTGTAAGTGTCTGAGTGGGTGGGCGCGGTGTCAATGTAACAAAAATCAAGTGGATGGTCAAAGGTCGTTTTTTAGGACTAATACCAAATGTATATGGCTATCTTTATAGTTATTAAAAATAAAACTGGGAAATAGAGGACAAATATTTAAAAGAATGTTTGATTTTAAAATGTTCTCAGAATCATTTTACACAGCTGATACTCATATATATGAACTGTCCAAGTGAAGCTGATAACTGAATTCCTATTTACAGTTTTTTTCAAACTCATTTTTGCCACAGGGTATCACGGTAATTTGGCAGGACCACACTGCAATCTTATGCTACCACGTCGAGAACTGCAACCCATGTAAATGTCAATCAGTGACACGTTAGGAGTACGAAAAAGTCCAAATGTCTTCTCAATTATAAAGTAAATTACCTTATTTACTTTCTCTGCACTGCTACCTACAACAACAGAACAGCCACAGGTTTGCAAGTGTGAGCTGATGGCACTGCAGGGAAAAGAAAACATTGCTTGTAAAAAATTTCACAAACTGAAAAATAAAAGTGAGCCTCAAATAACTCCAAACAGCTTTACCAGATAAACATCAATAGGCATAATGCTATTTTTATTGGTATAAAATTTTTCATTTCCTAGCAGACTGTCATAGAACTTGTCTCATTTAAATCTCAGGCTAAGCCAGTTGGTTTGTAAAATATTACTTTTTTTTAATATCACCTTTTTATAGCTAAAAAAACTGATGTATAAAAAGGTTAAGTGACTTAAAGGCAAATGGGATTCAAAATAATATAAGTGGTGACACTAGTGAATTCAGGACTAAAGTATGTCTGACTCAAGTAACTGAGACTTTTAGGTTAAATATTTGTGCCTCTCATATTTCATCGTGAGCCTAAAGAAAACGAATGTAAACATCGAAGTCATAAGTGTTCATTCGCTTCTCATTTTTAAGAACAGAAATTTGTGACAATCTGCAATTGTAAAGAAATACTAAGACAGAAGATAACAAATGTAGGGCACCTAACATTAGGGATTAACACACTAGCACTCAATAAATAGTGGCTACTAATATTTTTATTTTCCTTAGAAATGTAGTTAGAAAATTTCAGCTATTGAGTACAAAGTGATTTTATGTGCTAGGCACTGTTCTAAGTGCTGTATACGATCCATCTCATTTAACATCCATAATGACCCTATAAAGTATTTACTATTACCATTCCCATTGCAGAAATGAGGAGGTGGAGGCATGCGTGCTTCAGGCAGTCTTCCCTAATGTTGCAAAGCAGTAACCACAGCAGTCTGATTTTAGAGACCACTCTCAAGTTAGATGCAAAAGATCAGGTCAAATATCAGTGAAGTTCCATTCTTAGGCCTAAATAACTTAAGCCACTCTACAATGCAACTTAATTTGAAAGGTTTCTTAGTTTTAGCTTTAATGGGAAGTAAAACAAGAAACCAGAACAAAGGACTGACACTGCTTGTGTGGGCACTAAAGAAACTCAGTTTCATTGAACTGTAAAAGGAGTAAGTACAGATTTATCAGACATATGAGTAAAAAATAGTATGTATTAAACAACAGCTCAAATATGCAATGCTGTCTCTAAAATAATCGGAGTAAGCAGTATTTTATTATTTTCATGCTTCCAAATGTTGTCATAAGGTAACTATAAGATTTTTATCTGATTCATCCAGCATTTAGGAAAAGAAACAAAATTCTTACTTGAGAAGAAAGCCTTCATGACAACTGTCACCGATATCATCATCATTCAGTACTGTATCAGCTATCTAAAATATACCAGAGAAAAAAGTTAATCTGGCTATAACCATGTTGAGAGAACACTTTTAATACCTAAGTTTTCTGAAGCCTAGATTCAATGAAAACACACTGTCCTCATTTCTGAGCATCAAGTATCCATAAAACAATCTCTACGCTCTATCAGAACTTGGAAACAAACAAATGTGAAACTGGGTAAGGCAGGTTAAGCAACAGTTTTTACAAGAACAACTTCTCAGCTGTCAGATTCAGGAGACCAAACTTAATGACTCTGTCATTTGTTTGGTGATACAAAACTGAGCAATATATGTATGCTTATTTGTTTGAGGCTAATACTTCATATGAATAGTATGACAAAATGCATACTACTAAAATTAAATTTATTACTAGTAAACAAAATAGTAGAATTCAAAGAAACTGATAAAGGATAAAACTGCCCCCATAAGATCTTACATCTATTTCTTCAGGAACACTATGTGATTTCATAGATGAAAGCAGTTCCATCACAGGAATGACTTCCCCAGTAAGCATTGGAATAATACTCTGACCCTGCACAACAAAATAAAATACAGAAATTCACATGAGACGGGATAAGCTAGGCAATAAAAGATTAAAAATGAAAGAAAACACTACCCTTTGATAAGAATGCTTGGTAATTTATTGAAAATCTACTACAAAATATTTCCAAAGTATTTTCATGCTATTTAAACTCATTCTCATCCTTTCAAGAATGATTTTCTTTAGTGAGCATGGAATTAGTGCTTTATCATTTACTGTTACATGCCTGAATTAAACTGCCATGTCAAATTTAAAAAGGATCTCCTTTTAAAGGTCATCAATATATTTCCTATTTAAAATAGAGGAAAGTCAAGTCAGGTGTGGTGGTGCACACTTGTGACCTCAGCACCCCACAAGGCTGAGGCATGAGGGTCACAAGTTAGAACCTAGCCTGGGCAATTTAGCAAGACCGTCTCAAAATAAAAAGGGATGGAGATGCTGCTCCGTGCGAGGCACTGGGTTCAATCCCCAGTACCACCACCACCACCACCATCACCACCCCCATCTCGATCACCAACAACACTCCCCCACACCCCCACTCCCAACAACAAAGGAAAGTCAAGCATAAAGTCTTTGACATCCTTACTGTATCTTACTAGTAAAGCTTCAACCAATACCCACTTATCCCCATTCAAATAGGGTATAATCTATCCATATGCAAATGAAAATTATTACATATAGCTTAAGGATCAATGAAACATAAGAGGTTCCTTTAGAGATCCTTAGAACTATTTATTTTTGTATTTAAATTTTCTGGAGTTAAGTTTATAGCCCAAATATAAAATGTTTCAAATATAGGTGAATCTCCCTTTATTCACTAAACCCTCAGTTTTATGACTAACCTAAATATGTAAACTTTTCAAGATATAAATGAAATCATCAAATGTTTACCAATTTTATCTAAACATTTTAAAAGTTATGTAGTGAATTCAGCAAGTTTTCTTTGCCTACTCAGACTTCACAAAACAATTTTATTCAAACTCTGCACATATATCTTCAAATTAGAACCTTTGTCATCCTAAGAGCCAACTTAACAAAGGTTTTCATTTAGATTGCTTAATTTGAATGCTGTATGCTGCTATCTTTGAAAGTTCTATCTAAAACCATTAATGCTTTTGCCTAACATAGACAGGCTTATTATTTTTAAGAATTCATCTAATAGTTACCTCCCAAAATAACAATTACTGTTTTTGTTTTTAAAAGTAATTGTTGAAATGTTTGTTTACAATTAACACAAGCAACCCAATAAAGGTGACTCAATGTGCTCAACTTCCTTCCTTGTTAACTGATTTTATCAGATGACAGCTATAAGCATTCATTACTAGGAAGAGCCAAAGTTGTTTCAGACTATTATATCATTCCCCAAGCAATATTTATTGTTCAACAGAAAGCTATTGAAAACATGTAAGAGATTTGCAAGGACTCAGTTCTAAGGCAATTCCATTTTAGAAAGGATAATTTTGAGACAGTATTTCTGTTTAGGTTTAGGCACATATAGTATTTTGGACACGGAATCTCAGACACTGACATCATTCTAAGTGAATGGATGGCATCATCTATGCTCAATAACACAAAACTTACAGAGCTGAATAAAGAAGACACTATGAAAGAAAATCCCCAGGTTTTTTTTCTTCCTCGTATGTTCTTTTCTTGTTAGTACGACATTCCCCTGAAAGTCACTAGTCTGTCCCAATATACTTTCTTCCTGACATAGGCTAGGACAACATTTTCAAGAAGAGCCCTTAAAAGGGAGGCAGAAATTAATTAATAGTAGTCAGTCTTGTAAATGCAGGTTTCCGATTTGAAAAAAAACCCCAAAATCCCACTAAGGAAGCATTTTATTTGCTCCTGTATTTCCTTATCTTGAGATAAATTACTCTGTAAGTATCAGGTTAGAAGTTGGTGACATCCCTGGAGACACCACTTCCTGACTGATCAGACCTGTCCCACTAGGCTTGGAAAGCTTACAAACATAATAATTTTGTAAATAAGATCATTTTACAGGGTTTTGTATTTTCCTTGATGTACTCATATTTTCTTAAGGTTGTGTGTGTGTGTGTGTGTGTGTGTGTGTGTGTGTGTTTTACGGTGCTGAGGTTCAATCCCAGATTCTTGTGCAATGCTAAGTAGGTGTTTTCCACTGGGCTATACTACCAGCCACTCAGACATACTTAAAAATTGTTTTGTAAACATATTCCTGTCTTAATCATGCTAAAGAGAACCAGAGAAAAAGCAACACAGCCATGTTTAGAAGACTGGAGTTTTACTAGAAGGAACAATGAGGGAAGGTGGCCTGCCGGGGGATTAGGAGGAAAGTTAAAAACCCTTTCTCCACTAGAGATTCCCATTTTGAACTTCTCTGTCCTACACTGAAATGGCTTTTGTTTAATTTCTACAAGGGAAGTCATCACCTGCTTGCAGTCATGCCTCTCCGCCTCTAGGTCTACTCCCCAAGATCATTCAAAGTCACTGCATAAAAATGGTATCTCCTCCTAAGGAGTCCGTGTTACAGAAGTAAGGCAGGGAATATCACTGGCAAATTTTAATATTAAAACAAATAGATATATCATAGAATAAAAGTAAAATGCATAACTTTTAAAGATATCAAGTAAGACTTTAAAGAGATATTGATTGTGCTAGAGCTGTGCTGTACCTTCAAACAGATAACAGGAGCACACTCTCTTCCTGTTGCAGCTAGTTCTGTGAAAACGTTTAAGCAATATTTTTAAAAAATTACATATACACTTCTTTACTTTTCCTATGAACTAGGTATCTCAAACTTATTCTGCAAATTGAACAAAAGAAAAAAGTTGTATGTATATGTAATTATCACTTTCCCTTGTTTACTTAATTCTTCAGATGTAAGACACAGAAATTTTCATCCATATACATCTTCATAAACTCCACATACACTATTCATCTTCAGGCTCACTGTTGAACGTTGTCTTCAAGCCCTTAACAGAAGCAGCCATCAGCCTTCTACAAACATATGCCACAGGAATATGGTACTTATAACAGTATATGCAGTTTGCACTTTACCTGATCTTCCATTCTCTCTGAGCCTTCTAAGACAATCTTCTGGACGTTTTCTTGCCTTTCCTAAGCAAAAGGAAATTTATATTTTAAAAAATACTGTTTGACACATGCTTATTTTTCAATGTAGACATGTTGTATAATTTAGTTCAAAGGAAAAATACTTTCTACTGTAGGGGAAAAAAGGAAGGAAGCAGGAAATGAACCTAACAAACTCATGTCCTCCAACACTATAGAAAATAAAATCAAAACATCCTTTATTTTGTACTGAGAGATAATTTAGCAGAAAATAGTCAACATAACACCTGCAGTGCCAATAAAGGAATATAATGATGCACATTTCAAATTAAATGAGATTAAGTTGAATCTGAGGAATAGAGAGCTTAATTTTAAATAATTTTCATAAACATGAGCAATAAGAAATTGAGACAGCAGATAAAAAACTATTACTTTCCCTCTAATTCTAATATAAGAATTAGATGTTTTCTAGATTCTTCAAAAGTACATCAAAATGTAAACATCATTCATTATGTATTAAACTATAGGATTTAGTGGAAAACAATTCTAAGCTTAGTCTTAGGACCCTGGGCTGCAGCAGCCATGGAGCTAGTAATGTGGGTAATGAGGCCCTACAAAAGATCATAAACTTTTAACGTTATTATGGGTCTTTAAGGAATTTTTTTATATGACTCGTCTGTGTAGTGCTAGGTCCTACACACAGGAAACAACGGAATGCTGTGTAGGGGAGGCCACACTGCAGTGCCTACTCAGCCTTCTATCCCTGACATACACAGTCAAGCCGAAACTTGCACATATAAAACATTATATGTACTTATGTGAGTTGGTAAGTAAGATGCAGAAATTATCCAATAGTATTTCAACTTACCTACACATGTATGTTCATATGAAGACAAGTGTTTATTGTTACTAAGCAGACATGTAAATTTTCTTATTTATTAGGGGGCTTGTGTTATTTTGTATAATAAGTTAAAACAGTTTTTTAGCAGCTGTGGTATAGGAAGTAAATAATATATCAAAATTTTAAATTCATGATATTGCTACCATCACATGTAAAACAGTGTTAACCCTAGAAATGTTATAGTAAAAATACATAAAAGGAAGTTTTATTACTCATACACATTAACTATATTATGTTATATGTGCCTCAAGACCACTCTTTTCACTCTCTGCTACCCAGGCAAGCCAAAATGTTGGATACTCATACTCCATCTTAGTCTGCAAAATTAAAAGGCCTTCCTCCTAAAACTGCTTGGTCCAACCTCATCACCTTACAATGGAAGCCTGGCAAAGAAGGTGAAGGAACCCAAGGCTACATGGCTGAGAACTTGTAAAATAACTGTTGAACTGTTATATCTACACATAACTGAAAGACAAGATAATATAATAAAAGAAAAATAAAAAGGCTTTAGAATCAAAGGCTTTCAAGACAAACCTAGACACTAAAAGTTTCTTAACTTCTCAAAGTGTTAGCCTTCTGTTTGTAATATAGAACTACCATCTTCTACTTTCCAGTTACTGTGAGGCTTATAAACATCAGACCAGATCGACGGGCACACAGTAAGTAACAGCTATTGCTTAGTGGTTTTTTCGCTTAGTGTTAAATGCCTTTCCTTTTTTTTTTGGTGGTACTGAGGGTTGAACCTAGGGCCTTTGCATGGAGCTAGATCCCAATCCTCTTCCTCTTTTTCATTCTGAGGCAGGAGCTCTCTAAGTCACTAAATTGCCTAGGCAGTGATCCTCCTGCCTTCGCCTTCCTGAGTACAAAGATTATAGGTGTGTGTCACCATGCCCAGCCAAACGCAAAAAACTTCTAAAAACTGATATAAATGCATCAGAAAATAAACTTTCAATGGCCAGGTTAGCATGATGAACAAGTTGGAGAACCACTTACCTTATGCATCCATATCCTTCCTTTCCGAATAATGTGTGTTAATCTATCAACACACACTCTGTGAAGTGGAAGGTAGAAACTAAGTTCCGTCTGGGGAAGTATAATTGATAGTCCATAAGTACTCCGATCTCCATTCCAGTTTCCATCAAAGATTAAGGAAACAATAATTACTCCTTTTTCAGACAAAACAAAAAACTTTACATCTATCGCCCCACTCTCTGCATTTCGAAGAATTTCTCCATTTAGGGTGTGGTTGGCAAGAAACGTTATTTCTCCATCACTGAGCAGTACTTGTTCTGTCTTTGGAGCCCAAATGTGCCTTACCCTAGGACCAAGAATATTGTCCCAGTAAGCAAAGGTAGCTGCTAACAAAGGTGATTCACCACTTAAAGCGATCTCTGTCTTGGCAACAGCTGGAGATGGCGGCGGGCAGAGGGTCGACATCACTGCACCCCAATGCTCACATTATCCAATCCACAGACAGCTAAACAAGGACATAAGGAACCAATATTAGGTTTAGCAATTCTGAAGTTATTCAGCCAAGTTCCAAATGACTGAGGCAAATGTTATAGCGAAAGCTTGTACCACAGGCGCTTATTCTTTCCAAATATCTAGACTATGTGTTCTTCTACTAGGTATTTGGTCCCTAAGCCACTGCAATGGAGATGCAAAATTGCAGGCTCAGCTAGAGATGGTGATAACTTCCTATAGGTTGAACTGTGTTCCCCTCAAAAAGATATATTCAAGCTCTAACTTCTTATTTATGTGAACGTGACTTTATTTAGAAATAGCGTAATTGACATGGGGTCATACTAGACTGGAGTGGGTCCAAATTCAGTGACTGGTGGGCTTAGGAAGGGAGATCTGGAGATAAACAGATACAAAGAGAAGACAGTCATGTGAATACAAAAGACACAAATTGGAATTATACAACTATAAGCCAAGGAATGTCAAAGATTGCTGGTAACTGCCAGACAGGAAGAAGTGAGGATGAAGACGTCACTAGAATCCTGTTAGGATCGTGCACCTTTACATTAGACTTCTAATTCTCGACACTGTCAAAGAATAAACTGCTGCTGTTTAAGTCATCTAGCTTGTGGTGCTTTGTCCCAGTACTGTATTCCTAGAAAAGTAATACCACATCTGACAGCAGCAGAAATACCTTATACCTGCTAAAAAGGTAAAGAGATCTAAGATCACGAAAACACAAGTCTGGAGTCTTAACGAAAAGTGAGTAAATGGTCCTGTTTTCCCTAATGAGCTTTCTGGGTGTCAGAGTATTGACAGTCAATATTAGTGCTTATTTTATTTTTTAATTTTTGGGTTTTTTGAGACAGGGTCTCTCTATGTAGTTCAGGTTGGCCTTGAACTCACGATGTAGCCCAGAATACTAGCATTTAAAACACTGGTGTTTAACTGAAATATGGCAATGAAGGGAAGTACACTTAATGTTTTAGTCAAGAAAGCAGTATGCCAGAGAAAAGAAAGCCCCTTAAACAAACAATGGTAGGAAAACTGGTTATCCAAATGCAGACGAATTAATCTAGACCTGTATCTCTCATCCTGGGCTAAAATCAAATCAAAACAGACCAAAGAGTCAGATACAAAACAGAAACACTGAATCTGCTAAAAAACAAAATAGGTAAAGCACTGGAAGACAGGCATAGGCAAGAACTTCCTGAACAGAACACCAATTGCACAAGAAATAATTCCAAGAATCAACAAATGTGATTAAATCAAATTGAAAAGCTTCTTACAACAAAGGAAACAATCCACAGTTTAAAGGCCCAACCTACAGGATGGAAAAAAATTTTGGCAGCTAATAGCTAGGTTAATATCTAAAATATATGAAGAACTAAAAAAATTGGATTCCCACCACCAAAACCAAGACCCAATTTAAAAAAGGCAATTTAAATGAATAGACATTACTCAAAAGGAAAAGTACAAACAGCTAGTAAGAACACTGAAAAATGCTTAGCACCTCTGGCCATTAAAGAAATAGAAATAAAAGCAATACTGAGATTCAGCCTTACTCCATCTGATCATCAAGGATACAAAAACAACAAATGCTGGCCTACATTACTGCTAGGAACACAAATTATGGTAGATAACCCCACTATAGAAATCAGTATGCAGACTCCATAAAAAAAAAAAAAAAAAAAAAAAAAACCAAAAAACCCACTAAACTAAAAGTAGCAATTCCATCTGACTCAGGTACATTGCTTCCGCGTATCTTTCTGAAAGAATTAAAGTCATCATATTATGTAATACATGTACATCCATTTTTTTATAGCAGCACAATTTACAATACTTAAGCTTTGGAAATAACCTTGAAGCCCATTAACAGATAAATAAAGAAAATGTGGTATAGGTACACAATGGATTACTGTTCAGTCATAAAGAAGGATAAATTCTCGTTATTTGTAGGTAAACGGATGGATCTTGAAACTACAATGTTAAGTGAAATAAATAAGACACGGGGAGTTATATATCACATAATTTCCCTTACATGAGAAAGCAAAGTATACAAAATTTAAAGAGCAAAATAAAAGTAGTTGATTGCAACAGGGAGGTAGATATTTTGGAGATGGGGAAGGGATGAGAGGGGATAAAAATGATAAAAATATGATATATATGTACTAATTTCCCAAACAAATGTAGTTGTTATACATCACAAACATACACCAATAGAAAATCTAGCATAAGGAGAATCATATTATTAGAAAATGTAAGAGCCATAAGGGCCATAACTAAATTTGAAAAAAAAGAAAGCAATATAGCATTTTATCATTGCAAAGAGTGTTCTATATTAAGTGGCTAAAATAAAAATGCTTCATTTAGAACATACTGTAAACAAAAGGCATGAATGCACCCTGTTTAAACTTTTCAGGCTACCAAGAAAACAGGCACACAGAGAAAACAAGCCCACAGCTAACCTAGAACCCAGGGCTCAATTTATATATCTTAATCTACTCAAATGTACCTCTCTGAGAAGATACATTTCATATCAGTGTAAAACTAATCATTCTTACAGATGCTATAACTGAAGACTTGGAATCAGAGACAAAGCAAAACAAATTATGACAATTTTATTCAAACAAGTCTAAAACTCTGAAGTAGTAGTAATGAAGAGCAACTCTATGGTTTGTATGATAGTTTTGGGAGGTAGTATTTGATCAACAAAATTTATGTCAAAGTAAACCATTTTACTTAAGAAATTTTACCTACATCTTGTCAAAAAAAGAGTTCAAAGTCTGATGAAAAGAGTCATATTTTTAGAGCATCAGATGAGTATTTTTATCATATGACTACACACAGAACCTGGTAAGACAATCAACTGAACATATGTGCACAAATTGTTTAAGTGAGTTTCTACATGTGTATGTTAGCCTCAGAAACTCATTAAGTAATCTTGTCAATAATCTTAGGAGAGGTCAGTGGATGTAAGCTATACACAGCTTGTTTAAAATACTCACTGTTTTGGATGCAATTTAAACAACCTATTTACAATGACGTAATCTGAATTGAAAATATACTGATGCTATTGCTGTCACCATTAATAACAGCAAACTAGAGGCTAAGACAAATGAAGTGAAGACATAGGCATAAAATCGTATTTTAGATATATTTCTTTTATTCTTTTTGGATAAAACAGTGAATAAAGACAACATTATAATTCAAATATTCCATCATGATACTGAAAATAAAAACATTTCCTAAAACAGAATTGAGCCCTAGAGTAAAATCTGACTGAATTATGGACAATTTTTTTACCTCACTGTGAATACTGAACTATTATGAGTCACTAATTACATTCAGTCTCATTCCTAGTTCTGTATAATTACAAAGAAAATGAAGGGTAAAAATCATGTTGAATTGTTTAGCTTTAAGTGCTGCCAAAAGACATATGGTAGTTATCTCTTATGGCTTATACGTTCCAAGAATCTCATTGTATGCCTGAAACTGCAGATTAGTATCTAACTTTATACATGTTTTTTTTTCTTTACATATATACATATTATAAAGTCTAAGTTATGAACTACAGATTAGCATAACATTATGCTGTAAGAGTTATGCGAATGTGTTCTCTTTATCTCAAAGTATCTTCTGTCTAACACCTTTCTTCTTGTGAGGATGGGAGACTGCAATGCCTACATGATGAGATGAAGTAAATGGCACATACACTGTGATTTAGTGTTAGGCCAGTATTGACCTTCTGAAGGCATGTCAGGAGACGAAGCATGTGTTTCAGGTGATCCTAGATCATTGAACCATGGTATAATCAATGATTAGATGCCAGGAGCAGACAATGCTCATGGTTGGGGATCCTCCATAGTTGAAGGTTTGATTTTTGTTAAAATCTTTTAGAAGAATACTGTAATCTGATGTTACCTCTTTTTAACTAATTGAAGTACTGCAACAGAAGCTGTAATCCTTTGGATAATGGTATATTCTTTGAGGATTGCCACCCATAATTTTGTTCTTCTAATGTCTCTGCAATTTGAAATACTTCAGCAAATTTCAATAGTGTCAACATTGCTGGTTCTGCTTTAGTTTCTTCTTTGTTCTTCCTCTTTCTCTGTAGATTGTTAAACAAGTTCTTCCAACTCATTTGTGAAAACTTCCCAATGGCCTTTCACAAGTTTTTCCACTTCCTCCTCAAGCATGCTGACATATCTTCACCAATTTAACTTACAGCTTCTCCAGTGCTTTTAGTGTGTTCACTTTTTTTTTTTTTTTTTTTTTGGTTTTTCTCTGGTACCGGGAACCGAACTCACGACCTTGCACTTGCCAGG